ACATTAATCATTTATCTTCCAATGAAATTGACATTATTTATTAATACAGGTTAAATTCTATGCTAAAGCAATGAGAAATATTATATTCAGGTTAGAATGCACCAAATGTATTTAAAGTCCACTATTTTGAAAAACTTGGCAATTGATTCCCAGTTTCAGTTTTCTCAAGATGTTGGAAACCTACCTCACTGAATTGTTTAAAGGGTTAGAAATAAAAACCAAATCAATACTAGGAAGGTAGATTCTTAATAATAGAACCTTTTATAATAGATTCTCCAAAACGGCTACCTGTTGTTAAATGAATACAAATTCAATCTATGAATTTGGGATGAATTGGATTCACTACACATCCTCCCTTTTACTTTGCCCAAACTCTAATTCTGGCAAGTTACATCGAGCCTTAAGAAGAAGCCCTCTATTCGAACTGCAGCCTATTTCCTTGATGTTCTTTTGCCAGAAATAGCAAAAAGAATTCATTTCGAGAGTGTTCCCTAGTAGGAAATAGACTACTGTTTAAATTTGTTTTGCATTTATCCTAGCACCTCACATAGTGATGGACAGACAGACTCATCATAAATAATTATTGAGTGAATAGGTGAATGAAAGTGTGATAAAGTTAAACCACAGATGTTTCTAGTTAGGCTTTCAACTAGTGTTACATTTCTTAACTTATCTTTAAATCTACAGCTCATATTAGGGCAGAGGTCAGCAAATGTTCCTGTAAAGGGTCAGATAATAGATATTTTAGACATTGGGTGTAAAATTGTAGGCCATTGTGGCCATACATTCTCTTCCAGCTGGTAAAGTCTGCCATTGTGGCAGGAAAGCAGCCAAAGCTATAACGTATACAAATGCACATGGCTGTGTTCTAGTGAAACTTTCATTATAAACGCTAAGGTTGAAAGTTTACACAATTATCACCGGTCACAAAATGTTGCTCTCCTGATATTTTTCAGCAATTTAAAAATGCAAAAATCATTTTTTTTTACTTACAGGCTGCTTAGATGCAGAAAGTGGGAGAGATGAGTAAGTAGACTATGGTTTGCCAGTTGCTTTGTTAAAGTATGGTTCCTGGTTTAAAAGCATATTGAGAAAATGCAGTGAATAATTGATTCCCGTTTCTAGCATAGCCATATAGCAAATATAAGATATTTCATTACAAATTACATAGCATTTCTTTTTGAACTATTTTCAGTAATATTTTCATGGTAAATTTGAGATCCAGATTATTCAAGCTTTATGATTTCAATGTTATGATAATGATGTTTATCAAAATATTTTGTTAGTCTTTTGAAGTTTTCATTGGATTCAAATAAACCAAGTATTATTATTTTATTTATTTTAACTTACTCAAAACCTTAATCATCTTTGAAACTCACTCTCCCTGCATCTCTCCTACTAACCCCTAAAGACAATTAATTTTTGAATTTTGTCAGTTTTCTGTTTCTTCAAGTCCTAAATGACTTCTTTTCTATCCTTACTCACAGCCCAGTTCAGGACCTTATCCGTGGTTATATTTTGTGAAATAAACATTTTATATAGTCTATTTCTCTTCTGTCAATCACCTGTCGCTATAATCCTCTGAAGTGGGAAAATGATACAAGGAGGGACTCATTAGGAAAACTGCCATGTACACTCCTTTCTTACAAGGACAGGCATAAGGTATTTGTCAGAATTACAGGACAACTATCTTGGAAATAAATACAAAGAAATTTGTTTTCAATGTCATAGGTTATGACAGAAAACAAATTACATGTCTAGGTTGTATCTAACCCTGATCACTTATTCACAGAATTTGCAAATAAGAAATTGAAAGTAGAAAGATCAAGATATCAGGCTTCAGGGATCAGCAAGAATCCTTTGATGGTATCTCTTCCTGCTTTTAGACTTAACTGCATGAATTTCTCTATGTAAAAATCTTCTGTTTGTATTCTGAAAATTTGACATTGGTATTCAAGCACCAGGATTGCTATGGACTGAATGTATCTGTCCTTCCTCCCCTTCTCCACTCCAAATTCATGTATTGGAACTCTGATCCCTAATGTGATGAAATTTGGAGATAGCTTTTGGTAGGTACTTAGGCCATGAAGATGCAGCCTTCACAATGAGATTATAGTGCCCATATCAGAAGAGACAAGAAATCTGTCCTTCCTTCCTTCCTTCCTTCCTTCCTTCCTTCCTTCCTTCCTTCCTTCCTTCCTTCCTTCCTCCCTCCCTCCCTCCCTCTTCCTTCCCCTCCCTTCCTCCTTCCCTTTCCCTCCCTCCCTCCTTTTTCCTTCCCCTCCCTCCCTCCTTTTTCCTTCCCCTCCCTCCCTCCATCCTTCCCTTTCCCTCCCTCCCTCCCTTTTCCTTCCTTGCCTTCCCTCCCACCTCCCTTTTCTTTCCTTCCCCTCCCTCCTTCCCTCCCTCCTTCCCTTTCCCTCCCTCCCTCCTTTTTCCTTCCCCTCCCTTCCTCCCTCCTTCCCTTTCCCTCCCTGCCTCCCTTCTCTTTCCTCCCTCCCTTTCTCCCTTCCTTCCTTCCTTCCTTCCATCCTTCCTTCCCTCTCTTCCCCACCTCTCCATCCAAGTGAGAAAACCAGAGGAGTGATCTCAGGAGAGGCCAGATCTGACGGCAACTTGATCTTGGACTTCACAGCTTCTGGAACTGTGAAAAATAAACGTTGTTGAGCTACCCATAGTATTTTTGTTTCTGTTTTTGTTTTTGTTTTTTTTTGAGATGGAGTCTTGCTTGGTAGCCCAGGCTGGAGTGCAGTGGCATAATCTTGGCTCACTGAAGCCTTCACTTCCAGGGTTCAAGCAATTTTCCTGCCTCAGCCTCCCAAGTAGCTGGGACTACAGGCACGTGTTGCCACACCTGGGTATTTTTAATATTTTTAGTAGAGACGGGTTTCACCATGTTGGCCAAGATGGTCTTGATCTCCTCATCTGTCCATCTGAGCCTAATGATCTGTCCATCTGAGCCTCCCAACGTGCTGGGATTGCAGGTGTGAGCCGCCCGCCCAGCCAGTATTTTGTTTTAGCAGCTAAAACCAAAATAATGGTATTATTTTTGAAGTTTCTTCTACTGAAATTTCTTGAACTTTATCAAAGTTAGAAAGTATTGTTAGATGTGAATTAATGGGCAACCTGCAACATCTTTCATGTCCCATTCCAGAACTCTACACTATACTTTTCAGTTTTCTATTTGCAGATATAAATGTAAACATTCTTATGAAACACCTATTAGATCTAAAAAAGAGGAGACACAGGGGCTGTCGGATGGCTCCCTTAGAACAGGACAGAAAACTCTGTGCCCCAAACATCCTCCCTGGCCCATAAGGGCAAGTTAAATATTCAGAGCAATTGACCACATTTTCAGTTTTCTCTGCCTCTAAACAACATTGGCTTGGTCTTGCCTTTTCTTGAATCTGAGCTCAAATATTCTCTACCACCAACTTTGATTCTCATTTTTGGACTTTCTAGGATTTGTATCGCTAGGTGATCCTTTCTATTTATAGACCTTGGCTTTATATAGCTGATTGTTGTTTTTTTTCCTTTACCTCTGGAAAAAATATTTGCCAGCCCCAATAACTCAATCTTCTCCACTTTTCTTTGCCACTTTGTGCCCAGTCCTATAATTCTTAGTCACGCTCCAAAACCCGAGGGAAAGAGACACCCCATTATAGAAAGAGAAGTTAACGTGAATGATGTGTTGGATTTTGGTTACTATACATTTGCTTGAAAACTGTCAGCTGAGAAGAAGCTAGAGGAAAGCCAGAAACCTGCTTGACACGATTAATTGTTTTGAGGGTATGAATAAAGTCTTAGAAAGCATATTGATCAGGTTCTCAGATGACTCAATTCCTTGTCTGACTGACAAGGAAGGTGACAAGATAAATATTCATCCTTGAGTAATGATATACAGGCTATTTTACTTCCTGGCCTGGCCTTGCAACATATCTACTTATGTTATTTTTAATAAGAAAATTTATTTTTTAAAATACAAATTTTTATCAGCAAAGTTGAAATATTGGACTGAATCCCAAAAGATTCTATCCAGAAGAATAATACAAAAACACACATTTGTGTTTTGTTTTTTAAAATTTGCTAAAAATACAAAATGGTGCAGACACGGCTTGTCAGCTGGAAGGGATGGAACTTAACACCTATCAGTATGTGGGAAAAATCTGGATTTTGTAGACATGAGCTGACTTCAAACAACAGAATATTAATAATTGTAGACTAAATTAGCAGAATTGTGGTATCCAAATAAAAGAAGTTAATAGACTGTTAATGAAAGAAGACTCTCAAATATTTCTCTGCCAAGGCATATTTAAATATGAACATGAATATAGTCTGAATTTCACTCATAAGAGAAATTAAAATTAGGGTTATATCAAAATACATTCTTTTTTGAAATGACCAATTTTTTTTTTTTTTTTTTTGAGATGGAGTTTCGCTCTTGTTACCCAGGCTGGAGTGCAATGGCGCGATCTCGGCTCCCCGCAACCTCCACCTCCTGGGTTCAGGCAATTCTCCTGCCTCAGCCTTCCGAGTAGCTGGGATTACAGGCACGCGCCACCATGCCCAGCTAATTTTTTGTATTTTTAGTAGAGATGGGGTTTCACCATGTTGACCAGGATGGTCTCGATCTCTTGACCTCGTGATCCACCTGCCTTGGCCTCCCAAAGTGCTGGGATTATAGGCATCAGCCACCGCGCCCGGCCCTGATATGACCACTATTTAAGAGTCTGATGTCATAATGTATCAGCGAGGGAATGGGTGAAATATATATTTTTGATAGTTGTTTACATTTCTAACACTCTGGGGGAGGAAAATGTAGCATCTATCAAATTCGTAAATATGCCTACTCATTGTGGTCAACTGTTCTGGAAAATCTTTTCAATGTTTGCTTCCATCCTTATGGGGAGATAATATACATCCATACCCCGTTGATGTCAGCCTTGACCACATGACTTTCTTTGTGAGCAGAAGTGACATGTATTATTTTTTCCATGCAGAATCTTTAAAGATCATCACATGGTTAGTCGTGTCCTCTTTTCCTTCTACCCAAAACCTCCATGTCCTGGAGAGGGATTGCTCCTTTAACGCAGCCAAAGTAGCCTGGAATAGAGATGTAACATGAGTGACGGAGAAATCTTTATTGTTGTAAGTTACCAAGAGTTTGACATCGTTTGTTATTATGGAACAATTTAGTGTAATCTGATTGATGGAAACTGTAGCCTCTAACTCAGTGGTTCTATGTCTTTAATTTTATCCTATAACTCTACTCAGGACTATATAAAATGGTATATATACATGGATATCTATTACTGTATGATATGTAATAATAAACTATTACAACCACCCTAAATGCTCATCAGTATGGGACTGGCCAAATAAAATATGATGCAGTCATATAAAAAGATTGCAGTTGCAAAAAAGGATAAGGAAGCTTTTATGTATTAATGTGGATTGGTCTCAAACATGTATTTATAGTTATATAAATAAGGCAAATAAAGTATTTATGTATTTATACATAGACTTTCTTTGAAATGAGATAGGAACTTGACTCTGCATAAGAGAAATGAATGACAAATAACCACTTTGAAAGGGTGGGTTTTTTTTTATTGTGTACCCTTTTGTACCTTTGGAATTTTGAATGTATATGAATTTACATTACATATTTAAAAGAAAAACAAAATTTTAATTATCAAAAAAAGATATAACATTTGATCAGACCGTATTTGGATTTCAGAGTTCTGCACTCTCTAATAGTTTTAGATTGATTTTATAATTTTATAATCGATCCCGCCTCTATCCCTTTGCTGACTATTATCACTTGTCCGTTCTACCTGCTAAATAACTCTAACCATTTCTTAGGTTCATTCTCACTATATAGCTTTTTTTTTTTTAAACCAGTATAGCCCTCTTGGATTTTTATGCTTTCTCTGAATTATAGTAAACACGCTTGGCGCCTTGCCTAGAGCTGCTTACTGGGTTGCTGCGCCCATATTGCAGCTACTGTAAGTGTTGCAGTGATTAACAGCTGCGTTCTTCTCTTGGCCAGTGGGAAATCTCTTACCCTGAAATGTCTGGGAAGTCATGGCACCGCCCAGAGGAGGCTTATAGCTAGAGCTAACTGAATAATGGGTAAAGAATCTTGTGCATCAAGATAAAACAACCTTGTGGTGCCGTTTGTGCTCCAGAGCTCCCAATAAGATCAGGATTGAAAATCACATATTGTTCTGTTTATTCTCCAGGATGATCCTGATTTCTTTAGTTCCTCACAGATTTCCCCTGATTGTGTTCATTATGTCAGCCAATTGGATACTGTATTTAACCACTTAGTACACTCTGTGTGTGTGTGTGTGTGTGTGTGTGTGTGCGCTTGCGCGAGCCTGCCTGTGTCTGTGTGTGTAGGGGGCCATTATTGTCAGTTCTGGTCAGTAGTGGCTCTCCTTTGTAAGCTGGGCTTTTTATCACAGATCTAAGATTCTTAGCAATGAGAATGATAGAATCCTAGCCTAACAGAAGCCAAGTAACAGCACTTAACTATCAAACGTCATATCGTATTTACTCTTATTGTCTACCACGTTCTTCCTTTCTTCCTCATGTTCCAGATTTCTTTCTTTATTGTTTCTGTTCTGTTTAGGAAATTTCCTGCAGCCGTTCTTTTATGTCTGTTGGCCGCGAGTTCCTCACTTTTCCCTCATCTGAGAGATCTCCTCATTATTCATGAAGGATATATTCACTGGATAAAGAATTCTGGGGTGACTGTTTTTTTCTTTCAACACTTGAAAAATATTGTGACACTTTCCTGTGACTTCCAAAGTTTCTGATGAGAAATCTGGTACTCAAATTAGTTTTCCCTTTCCCTTTGAGATATGGGGATGGTTTTTTCTGTATGCTTTGATAGGTTTTTGCTTTTGACAGTCTTGCTCTGTCATCCAGGCTGGAGTGCACTGGCACGATCTCTTCTCACTGCAGCCTCTGCCTCCCGGCTTCAAGTTATTCTGCTGCCTCACCCTCCCAAGGCATGTGCCACCAGGCCCAGCTAATTTTTTTTTTTTTTTGGAGACAGGATCTTGCTCTGTCACCCAGTTTGGAGTACAGTGATGTGATCTGGGCTCACTGCAACCTTCACCTCCTGGCAGCGATTCTTGTGCCTCAGCCTTCTGAGTAGCTGGGATTATAGGCATGTGCAACCACACCCAGCTAATTTTTGTATTTTTAGTAGAGATGGGGTTTCACCATGTTGGCCAGGATGGTTTCCATCTCCTGACCTTGTGATCTGCCCATCAACCTCCAGAAGTATTGGGATTAATTTGTGTATTTTTAGTAGAGATAGGGTTTCACATGTTGGTCAGTCTGGTGTTGAACTCTTGACCTCAAGTTATCAGCCCACTTTGGACTTCCAAGGTGCTGTTGAAACCGGAGAAGTTCCCTTATTCCCCGCACAAGGCGCCATGGCGGTGTGGCTCACTTCTTCGGTGCCCCACTGCTCAAACCCCTAGGGGGCACTTGCAGATGGGCAGACTGTGGGTCTCTAACCCTAAAGCAGTGTTTATTGTTGAGTGTTTACAGTTCCTGAAGCCCTAGTGTGTGTGTTACAGTGTGCTCTTTCAGCTTAGCCGTCCGCAGGTGCCTTGTGTTCATCAGCTCAATTAGACCCTCTGCCTTACCACATGGCGGAGGGCTTTCTCTATCCTGGGTTCTTGCCTTGGTGTACCAGAAAAATCAGATTACCCATGGGCTTGGAGAATGAGTGCAAGGTTTTATTGAGTGGAGTTCGCTCTCAGCACATGGATGGGTAGCCAGAAGGGGATGGGGTGGAAAAAGTGTTCTTCCCCTGGAGTCTGGCTCCTCTGCTCTTCTCGATGTCAGCCGCCTCTGTGCTCTTCTGCTGGTGTGTTCCTCTTGATGTCCAGCCAATTGTGTGCATGCCTCTAGGGTCTTGGGGATTTTATAGCCACAGGATGAGAGGCGTGGCAGGCCAGAGTGATCTTGGAACATACAACATTTGGGCATGGAAACAAGAGTGCCTATCCTCATCTAGATTTTTGGGCGCAGGGCCTAGGATGGAGACCTCACCAGGGACCACACCCTTCTCAACACTTCCCTGCCCCCATCCCGTATCACTGGGTTTATAGGCATGAGCCACTGTGCCCAGCCCTGCTTCTACAGTGTTTTAGTTTTCAGAAGGTTGATAATGATGTGTCTTGGCATTGGTATCTGTGAACTTATCATAATTGGTGTTTGCTTAGCTTCTTGAATCTGTAGATGTGTGTGTGAGATCACATTTGGGAAGTTTTCAATATCCTTTTTGTTGTTGTTTTATTTTGGTTTTTGAGGTATGGTCTACTCTGTATCCCAGACTGTAGTGCTGTGGCATAATCATAACTCAACAAGCAAGCTCGAACTCCTGAGCTCAAGCAGTTCTCTGGCCTCAGCCTCCGGAGTAGCTGGGACTGCAGGTGCATGCCACCATGTCCAACTAATTTTTTGTTTCTGTTTTTGTAAAGATGGGGTCTCACTCTATTTCTCAGGCTGGTCTCAGACTCCTGGGCTCAAGCAGCCTTCTCACCTTAGCCTCTCAATGCTCTGGTATTACAGGCATAAGCCACCATGCCTGGCCCATTACTTCATTCAATACTTTTCTTCAGCCCCACCTTTTCTCCCCTCTTTTCAATTTTTCAGATGATACACATGTTAAATTATATTAATACTTATGTATTATAATCCCATAACTCACTGAGTCTTTTGTATGTTGGTTTGTTTCCTTTCAGTCTATTTTCGCTCTATTCTTCTATATCCCATTTCACAGATTGTTTTTTTCTGCCCCTCTATCCTGCCATTGAGCCTATTCACTAAGTATCTTATTTTGTGTGTTGTATTTTTCAGTTCTAAAATTTCTATTTTGTCCTTCTTTATTTTTTCTTTGTCTTCGTTGAGGCTTTCAGCTTCTTTGCTGATATTTTCTAGTTTTCAGTTTATTTCAAGCATGTTCATCATTGCTTTTAAAACAAATTTATTGTGGCTGCTTCAAAATCTTTATCAAATAATCTTAATATTTTTGTTGTCTTGAGGCTAGCATGTTCGTTCTGGCTCTTAATATGAGTTTTTATTAAAATGTGCACTTTTAAAATGTTAAGACTCAGGATCTCATTTTAACCTTCTGCTCTAGCTAGATTTCTCCAACAATGCTCCAGAGTCTGACTCTTCACTACCAGGTGGAGGTGGAAGTCCAGGTTCCTACCTGAGGTGGGGGACCGTCTTTACTGCTAGGTGGATATGGGAGTTTCAGCCCCCAGCGTGTATATTTTCCAGTGACACCATGCATCCTATACAGGTTTCCGTGTTACTAACAGGTGATGGTGAAAGTCCTGACTATTCCCTGGGCCTCCTCTACTAACACCTAAGGGAGGAGTGGGAGGAGCACCTCTGCTGCACTGGAGTGGAAGTCCAAGGTCACCGTGTGTTCGCCATTGACACTGGGATGGGGGCTGGGCTCACTAACATTGATGGGGGTCTGAAGGTCTCAGTTCCCTGCTTGGTCTTCTCTGACACCATTCTCAGGGCTGTGGGCACACCTTTTTACAGGCAGGAGAGAATGGAGTGGGTGTTACCTGTTTCGTCTTTGCTGACATGGAGAATAGGGCCAGCTTTTTCTTTCTGTGTTGTTTGACTAGGATAGAGCAGGTGTTGTCTTAAAAATCGTCCATAGTGCTTGTCTGCCTTAAGGCTTTTATTACTACTTAGTGGGAGGAGCTGGGAAAAGTTCATCCATTTCCCCTTCCTAGAAGCAGTCTCAAGACTTAAAAGACAAAAACAAACAAAAAATGGAAGCAATTCTTCACTGTTTTAGGACTCCTGCTCCCCTATTCAGTCAAAACCAAATTTATATTGTAATTCACTCTAGAAACAGAAATCTCCCCACTCCTTTTCATTCCCAAAGGTTTAAAAATAAATCCTCTAGGCTTGTTCCATCCCTCAAACTGATTTTTCTTACTCTGACTTTAATAAATGCTTTCATCAAATGGCAGTTGATCAGATGGTTTGTGTGACCTGATAGGGTGACACAGAACCTCTTTTCAAAGTGACAGGATATTCAAAGGCTTTACTCTTTCCAGAAGTAAAGCTGCTTTGTAAATGCCAGATTCTTTTAAAATGGTGTTCCTTGCAACCGCATGTATATTCATCTTACTGAGGTAGCCCATGCTGTCAAGGGGGAAAATTACAAGAAATCCACCTCTGAGCTTTCCTTTAATGCTGTGAGAAGACTTAGGATGAGTGGACTGGAAGATGATTGTATTTTTCCTTTACCTTTTGGTTAAACTGATGATATCTGCCTCATGCTTTATATTACCATATGACATGTCTCCCAGGAGGATGACCCTGAGAGTTTGAGTCACCCAAGTAAAAAGAAGTAAGTCATGAGATCCAAGTGTCGCTGAGGAGTTATGCCTGCTGACAAATGGCTGCACACATTTCTTTAGCTCTGTCCATAATGCTTTTTGAATGTAGCACCAAGCAACTTACTTGATAGAGTAGTAATAGCAGGAGAAGCTACAAAGCGACTAGATACGCTCTTCCTAGTACACAATTTACAAGGCTAGGTCTTCAATGAGATAGAATAATACAAAAGTAAGACGGGAAAGGATTTTAGTGATCATTGAATCATAACCTCTTTACCTATTCTGCCATTCTACAGGTGAGCAGACCAGGCAGCGTCAGTCACTTGCCCAGTGGCAAATAGTGGCAAAACTAAGAATTATGTCTCTAGTGTTAAGCCCTTGTTCTTTTATACACACCACAGGGTCACAAATAATGACTTTTAAAATGCTGGCTGATTATTCTAGAGTAGAGAGAAAATTATTAAACTACCATAGAAGTGGAATCTATGGGAGCACTGGGAACTGATTCCCATGGGTCAAAAGTGTGATGACTAAGGCATTCAGAAACACAGAGGAGCTGCAGGAAATGGGCCATGATTCATTTAGTGGGTAGCACTCTTTTCCTGGTGACAGTCTATTCCTAAGTTGTCTTTATGGTCAGCTGGAAAGTGAGCCAAACCTGGACCCCTCTGAGGTCTCTGCAAATCATGAAGCACAGCACAAATTTACTTTTCCAAAGTGGCCCTCGTTGGGCAATAGCTTGGAATTCCTTTCTGATTCACTTTTGGAGAACGACCCCTAACTGACCTGTGTTCTCCTGAAACCCACAATTGTATGCAATTTCCATCTTCTTTTGCGATTCAAAATTATGAAACTCTTCCGAACAGCTGTTTAAAAAGTCGTAGATGCTTTGAAGAGTTATCAGAGCACTAGTTGTATATTAAATGGCTTTTTATATGTTTTAAGATAACCTACATGAATATGAAGGGTTCAATATGTGTTTCTGAGTTTATACAATCTAGATATGTTTTATGAAATGTATTGATATTAAATGCCACATTATATAAGTGTTTGTGTTACTATTTGCCATCAGAAAAAAAGGATGTAAAAATACCATGTGGAATCGAGAGATTAAATGTTTGTTATAACTATATTTTACTTAATCCTCAAGTCACAGCTCCTGGTAAGTAAGTATAATGTGTGCAACCTGGACTCCCAAAACATCCAGATCTCATGACTGTCAGAGACTTGGGGAAACTAAGATGTCTTAAGCAGACCCATTAGTTCCTCAAAGTCCTTATTGTGGAAATGATCAGAATTCTCTTAATTTTTACCCTGAGTACTTTTGGAATCTTTTACATCTATTAGACTTTGGTTTTTGCAAATACCCAACAATCTTTCCAATCTATTAGTACACAAAAAGCGATAAACATTGGTGAATAAGTGAGGAAAGGAGGAGTTTATCTGGTAGATAAGAGAGGGCCAGTGAGGGGATTTAATATAGGTTTGTTGGAGGACATTTATCCACGGGTTGCTCTTGCATCTGTCCATTTTCTGAACAAAGGTATTGACAGCTTTGTTCCTTATTGCCTTTTCAAGGATGTTTGTATGGCAGATGTAGCCTTGGAAGAGAGAGAGAGTGTGTGTGTGTATGTGTCTCTGTCTAGGGCAGAGGGAAGATTTGTTTGCCCTCCAAGATAATAAAGATAATGTTTCCCTCCAGGATAAATGTTGGGCAGGTTGACTAGCAGGCCTTCAGAATACTGATATTTTCTTAACCTAAGATTCCTAAGGTGTAACTCGTATTCACCGTGCATACCACATCTCCTTGGGCCATTCTATATTACCCCTGGGACTTTGGAGGCAAGGGGAACTAATGGGAACACGTAGTAATGTCCTTTGTCTCTGACCGAAGGCTCTCATGCCATCTGCTAGTATCTATGTAACTAACATACTGGCTTGAAAGCAGGGTAGAACCTCTGACTTTTCACAGTTCTTGACTACAGGTGATATTATTAACATTCAAATGCTACATTTCTACATCTTACCCATGAGACCTACCTTAGCAATCTAAACTGAGAGGGTCTATAAGGAGCCACAGATAAGACCCCAGCTAGAGAAAAAAGCAGGATTAAAAATGGTGAAGGTGTTCTACCTCCTGGCCAACTATATTAATGCTATAACTTAAGACACTGTCCTATAGTTTACATTTTCATCAATGCCATAGATAAATGTGGGAGTGACACGGTTGGTCTTGGAAGGGAGTGAGAGAGACATTACCCATATAAATGCTGCCATCGGCACAACCGTTCTGTTCTCCGCTTTTCTAAACTCTGGGTGTTCTTTCAGTGGCTTCCATCACCCATTGACATTTCCTGTCCAGAACTATAATTTTAACTTGTTCTCCTGGCTCTTAAAGCATTTCTGAATACAGTTAGTAAGATATATCAAAAAATGTTGATTTATAGGCTAAAATCTAAGCTCAGGAGCACCACGGCCTGCTTTGTGTTTCCTGGTATTCGAAGACGGGGAACTTCTCTGTTTCATGGAATAATGGAGATTTGAATGTAAGGATAAATTCACAGAAACAGTTGGATATAGATACATAATTGAAATGAATAAGTTACTCTCCCACATAGAGGAAAGGCTTGAACTATGCTGTCGATATGCTAGCCACTAGTCATATACGGCTGTTGAGGACTCGAAATGTGGCTACTCCAAATTGTATATGTCGTAAGTGTAAAAACACACTGAATTTTGAGGACTGATTAACAAACAAAAATGTAAATACTCATTAATATATTTTTATATTGATTTTGTGTTGAAACAATAATCTTTTAGATATGTTGGGCTAAATAATATAGAGTATTAAAATGATTTTTTGTTTCTTTTTTTTTTTTGAGATGGAGTCTTGCTGTGTAGTCCTGGCTGGAGTGCAGTGGCGCTATCTCAGCTCACTGCAACCTCTTCCTCCTGGGTCCGGTTCAAGCAGTTCTCCTTCTTTAGCCTCCCAAGTAGCTGGGATTACAGGCATGAGCCATCATGCCCAGCTAATTTTTGTATTTTTAGTAGAGATGGGGTTTCACCATGTTGGCCAGTCTGATCTTGAACTCCTGACCTCGTGATCCGCCCACCTCAGCCTCCCAAAGTACTGGGATTACAGGTGTGAACCACTACACCTAGCCTTTTTGTTTGTTTTTTACCTTTTTTTTTTTTTTCTCATGGCTACTAGAAAACTTTAAAATTATATATCTGATTTTTAAACATTCTATTTCTATTGGACATTGCTGTGCTGGATTATTCCTTGTCATCTACCTCAGCGACAGAAATGGAGTGGGGCTGTAAGAAATCCTAGGGCTGATCCAATAGTTATAAACCAAATCCTGTCAACTGTTAAACAACTGATGAAAGAATTAAATCCCTTGAAGACTTTCAAATAGACTGCAGTTTCTTTAGGGCAAAGGTCATGATATTAATAGATTGTCATGACCTTTCCTTTTTCCCTAATGACAAGATTAGCTCTCACTTAGCTTAATAATTTTTGTGAGTTGAATGAATAATAAGAAACTCCAGGGAAAAGAAAACCTACAAGTGTGGTGTTTTCTCATCCAAACAGGATGCCTGCATATTATGTTACTTCTCTTAGCAGTCACTTGTGTTCTTTATTTCAGACAGCAGCCTTATGGTGCGATTTATCTTCCCATAGATCTTTCTGTTTCTTTAGAAATCTAAGCTGGAAATGCATCTTTATCTCACGCATATTCACTTCTTTTAGAGCACACAGGATAGTAATGGGGGTTAAAGTGAGAATCACTTGTGCACAGATAAGTAAGTTAACAGATTCATTAGCAAAAAAATGTTTTTCTTAGGATTGTGGTCTTATACAGTCATTCGATACGTTTTTGTGTGCAGGGACATAGAACGTTCTAACGGAGAAGACAAAGAAGCAGGGTCTCCATGATGCCCTTGTGCTGTCTTCATATCTTGCTTTATCTGCTTGTAGGAAATTGTACCAGTGAACAGGGAGAGGTGTTCCCAAACTGTAAGAGCTATGGTCATTAGCACTCACACATGTTGCAGCAGAAATTAATGGCTGGCATATGAGAGATGGCTAAAGAAAGCAGCAGTGTTCTAAGATATGTAAAGCATACTTGGAGTGTTCTTTGTTAGGTGCAATCAACATTGATGCTGTAGATGAAGGATAATTAACACATAGCATTTACATTAAAAATACTAATATGAACTTACTTGGTGATAGGCCATTTATATTACATGATTTTTAAAGATACCTGGGAGGAAGATGTTATCCCTTTTTTATAATTAAAAATAATTAACTTTGAGGAAGAGGTTAAGTGTCTTGCCTAGAGATAGACTGTGATCTGAGTGTTTATGCTTTCCCCCCAGATTTGTATGTTGAAATCTTCACTTCCAAGGTGATAGTATCACGAGATGGGACTTCAGGGAGGTGATTAGGTCATAAAAGGAATTAGTGGCTTTATCAAAGAGGCAGGGGAGATGCTCCTTGCTTATTCCCTTGTGTGAAGATACAGTAAAAAGACGCTGCCTACAAGCAAGAAATCTGGCCCTGGCCAGACAATGAATGGTGCCTTGATCTTGGACTTCCCAGCTTCCAGAACTGTGGGAAATAAATTTCTGTTGTTAATAAGTTGCCCAGTCTGTAGTATTTTGTTACAGCGGTCCATTGGACTAAGACAGGACATAACGCTTGTCAGGAAAAGAATCAAAATTTGAAACTAAGTCTAGGCTAACTCCAAAGTCCATGCTGTCTATTAAACCAATTCCACCTTCTCTCCAATGTAACAATGGCATTATTATAATGATAATGATAGACAAAAAACACAAATAGTGTCTGCTGCATTATCCTTACAATTATCTGATGTTTCTGCCTTCCTCCATTTCTCCTTCTCTTTCTCCTGCCCTTGCTTCCCCTACTCCTCTTTCCCATCTCCTACTCTGGCTTTTACTATTTCTCATTCTCCCTTTCCTTTCCTTCTCCCCCTAATACTTCTCCCTTTCTTTTTCTAGTTTCATTCATTTTTCCTTCCCTCTTCTCCAGCTTTTACTGCCTAAGCTGCAGTCCTGTCAATGCCTCTGGAAACCCTGAGGTGTGATAAAGTCTGCCTGCCAAAGCTATGCAAGTGACTATTGTAATAACTCAAGAAATGCCGGGCGCAGTGGCTCACGCCTGTAATCCCAGCACTTTGGGAGGCCGAGGCGGGTGGATCACGAGGTCAAGAGATCGAGACCATCCTGGTCAACATGGTGAAACCCCGTCTCTACTAAAAATACAAAAAATTAGCTGGGCACGGTGGTGCGTGCCTGTAATCCCAGCTACTCAGGAGGCTGAGGCAGGAGAATTGCCTGAACCCAGGAGGTGGAGGTTCCAGTGAGCCGTGATCGCACCATTGCACTCCAGCCTGGGTAACAAGAGCGAAACTCCGTCTCAAAAAAAAAAAAAGAAAGAAACATACAGCCGCAAGTTTCCTCAGACTTGAAGGTAATTTTTCCACAAAAGACTACACATGTTCTATTAGCATAGGATCCTAGAGTGGCAGAGTTGGAAAGGAAATTGGAGCTTTCCTAACCTGATACCTACATGATATACCAAACGGAACTCTAGCTCGGGGAAGCTAAGGGACTGCCCCCCAGGTGACCAAACTGGTTAGCGAAAAAGCCAGAACCAGCATCTAGGAATTCTTATTTTAGTTTCTAGGAAGGTGTGTGGGAAATTAAGTAGAAATTTGAAAATGCAAACCTATTGACTAGCATTAAGTGAGGACTGTACAGGTGAAGTTTATTTCCTTGTTCTATACAGATGTTGAGAAGACAAATGCAACGTGTGGAAAAGTGCCCAGTGCTCTTTGAAAGGCCTGATTTAAATGTGAGGTAATACATATTGCCTGAAAATTAAACAATGACCTTTCATAGACTTAAGCCAATCTAAAGGAGTTGTGGAATATAAATCCTTTAATGCTGTTTCACTGAGGTGACATGACTTCTCTTTGTATGTACTAAATGACTGTTGAATGGATGCCAACTAGATGTCTGTTTTCGTTCAATAGGAAAACTTCGGTAGGTAAGTATATAATGTACTACCTGAGCACCTGCAGATGCAGTAGATGGATTCCAATTTTTCTCTGCCTCTCTCTCATTCCGCAGCTGATCCTAAAAGAAAATGTATGCCTGGAGTCTGATTTGACTCGCAGTCAGGTCTCATCTCTCTTACTCAGTGTGTGCTTTAGTGGAGGGAGGTAGCTCATGTAAGAGGAGAGACGTCTGCGCTGAGTGACAAAGCCTTAATCCTATATTAAGCTGTGACTCTAATTAGCCAAATAATTAGTACAAAATGTACAACCATTTGCTTCATTTTATCATCTGTAAAATGCAGGTAATATTGGCATTGATCTCCAAAAATAAATCGTAACTGAGATAATGTGCATGTGATAGTTTACTCAGCATCTGGCACATTGTGAGGCTCTATAAATATTAGTTATTATTTTTTTGTTTGCACAAAACTTTGTCTTAAGGTGTTAGGATTTGGACTGTCAAAATTTCTGCCTTTAATAAGCAGCTTCAGAAAATTGTGTTTTTCAACCAGATCAAAGCTCTGTGAACTGGATTGCATTTCAGAAGAACAGATTGATGTCCCATACATGAGATACCTTCCCCAACAGGCCAAAATGTTTTCCAGATTGGATGCTTGGCACAGAGCAGCATTCTGAAATAAAACTCCTATTGTTTTTCTCTTTCTCCTTATAAAAGTTTTTAAAGGGAATGGCAATCTTGGTTATTTATTTGCTTCCACGGAGAGAAAAAAAAAAGGCACATCTGTTTGCAATAGTGGATTGAAAGGTCTAAAAATAAATATGCTTTAAAGAAAAGAAACAAAACTTTGTTGGCATTCTAAATCCAACTGACACAAGAAAAGTTTTTTTTTCTAAAGAAGATTGACTTCTTTAAAAAAGAAAGAAAAAGCAAATAATGTAGAATTATATAGTCCTAGTGAAGTGGTTCAACACATAAAAATATTATTTTTTACTTACCTCAAAAATAATTTTAAATGTGACATAATATCTTAACATTTACATTTTAATTCTGAATACACCCTGCGTCTGTAATTTTCTCTAAGAAGAGCCTGTTGAGATTTAAAAATGATTCCTTTACTCTCATAATCTAGAATTAGAAAGTAAAATGCCAAAGTACAAATATCTATGGTTTGTGTTGGCTATAATCTTGGAAAATTCCATTGCTTTCCGTAGTGAAAAGCACTTTACTTAGATACACATTTTAGATGGTGTTGTCACCTTTTTATCACTTTATATGAAAAGTAAAAGCCATCCATTGTAAAATAGGCTTAGAAATACTGTTCTGACTACAGCCATTTCACAGAGAAGGGAACTACCATGCCAAATGACCTATGGGGCAGTTTTCTCTTGGGAGCCTAGATAAACTAAGGTTAGGGAGTGGAAGCAGTAGGGAGCAATTCGGGTTGACAAATAAAAGGGAGCTTAGAGGAAGTGGAATAGAAAACAAATGGAATTGATAAAGACGGAAGGGCTGCTGGGGTGTCTAGAAAACAAATACTGGCTGCTCAAAAGCAGCTGAGCCAGAAAATCCTTGCAAAGGAGCTACTGAAAGGCATTTGTTCAGGTGAAGAGGAGGAGTCCAGGAAAGAAAACCAAGGGTTAAGAAGGGTTTCTAAGGTGAGAGCATAGGCTTGCTACTTAAAATCACCCTCAAGAAGGGCGGATGTGCACAGGAAAAATAATCAAGCGCTTGGCCTCCGTGGTGTACCCAGAAAGTTAGAGACTCTTTCACCCGGGTCAAAGCGTATCTCAAGTGATAAATTAGAAAGAAATCTAAATAAATGATTAATATGTTAAACAATGGAATACTTCAATGTAGTTTGAGATTTTAACATTCAGTAGTTGTTCTAGAAATGTTATTTTAAGTAAAGGAATATACAGGATAAAATGCCAGGAAAGTAAGTAAGAATATTCAACCCTTGCGTGGTAGACCTGCCTAAGTTAGACCTATCTAGAAACGGGTAACTGCATTACATGTAATATATATTGCATATATAAATACACCAAAGTGGCTTTGGAGAGAATATGAAGTCTTTGTCTTATAATAGGGTACAGTAGCCTGTCCCTGAGGAAATCTTATTTATAAGATTTGTAACTCTTAGCATTGTCCGATATTCAAAGCCATTCCACCTTCTCCTTAGATCAGAGTTTACCGGTGTCACATTTCCTTGAGCTTGCAATATCATAAACAAGACATTTAAAAATACGATTTGGAGTAGGTCAGTGCCCTCAAGGCCATGGAGAAAGTTGTATATTTTAATCGAGTCCTTAGGAAATAGGAAGCTCTTCTGTAATGGTGGCATAACCTGAAACAGTCTCTAAAATACATTTTCTGTGAACTCTTTCATTTTTAATATCATTATGATTTGGACATTAAAAATGTCTGTTCAGATAATCAATCAGAGTTCCCCATATTTGCCTTCTCACCTAATTCAAACACTCCATCCTACTCTGCTTAGCTATCTCACGCCATCAAAACTGCCCCTGGAAGGTCATCTGGGTTTCACATTTCATTCCTTGTTTTAACTTGTCAACTTGTCAGTATTTGCCACAATTTTGATTTAAAAGTCCTCGTCCTTTTGATTCTGGGAAGCACTCTCTGTTTTCCCTCTACCGCCTCTGCTTTCTTCTTCTCAATCTCTTCTGAAAGACCTTCCTCTTAAACCCAATGAGCAAGTATTTGAATTCTTCAGGAGTTTGTATTATCACTTTCCTCATGTCTTTCTGTGTTTCCCTCCCAGACGGTCTCAGCCACCGCTGTGGCTTCATCATGATGATAGATTTACATCTTCAACCAAGACTCCTCTTCGAGTTTCTAAAGAGTAGATGCAACTATTAACTTAATAAATCTACTCCAATTAAATGGTATGAAGATACTCTCAGGATTTTCACTTTGGATTCCCTTTTCAATAAACACCACCAGTATTTGCCCACTTTTTCATGTCAGAAACCTGGGCACCAGCTTTGTGACCTCTCTCTTCTTAATATCTGCTAAATCACCTAAGCGTCTTAAGAATCTTCCAATATATCTTCCCTAACACAGGCTACTAACATGTATTATCCTGGTTTCCTTCAAGAGTCTCCTAAATGATATATGTGCAACTATTTGTTTATCTGGTTCCAGTCTATTCTCCAGATAGTTATTAGAATACTTTTTTTTTATGTATCTCCCCATGACTCTTAGATTAAGTTCTGTTGGACTTTTATAAAACTAACAGCCCTTATCCTGCTCCTGAAATCCTTTATGATCTTTTCCTTGTTTTTCTCTTATGCTGCATATCCTAAAAATCTTCCACTTTCTCATGAGTTCTTCATTCTTCAGGAATAATTTCTGGTTGTTTAACTGTCTGAGTTCTTCTTGCATTGGGATAATGACTCAGTTTCAAGCCCTTTTGCGTCCATCCTTTTGCCCTTAACTTGGTGCATTCTTCATCATTCTTTTGCATTAATTTTAGGTATAACTTCCTCAGAGAAACTGTACTGTCCATCCATACCCATTTAAACCTACTGTGTTTTATTTTTTGGTATGTATAATAC